CAGTGTGCCGGGCACACCAGTATAAGTTTTTGTCTCAGAGCAGCCAGATACGGATCCCTGCTCTCCACAAGCAGCCAGAATCCCAGTCTCCTGAGGAACTCTGCCTGTATTAACTTTCCATGCGAGTCTCATGAAGGCACCATGAAATGTAGGTTTGTGCTTCCAGAGGAGATCTCTGGAGTTACGTATTCAGCAGTCCCAAGCCTTCCACTCCCTCCCTACTCCGTCTGTCTTCCTCCTGCCAGTGAGCTGTGGTGGGGGAGGGGCTCGGTTCCCATGGAGTCACAGCTCTAGTACGTTACCCCGTTTGCTGAGGTCTGCTCATTTCTCCAGATGTGTGCAGTCTGACGCTGTCCTCTTTCTTGTTGCTCTCTCAGGATTAGTTGTGCCAATTAAATTTTCTAATTGTATCCAGTTTTAGAAGGAAGTCTCTGTCTCTCCTCTCATGCCACCATCTTTAATCCATATGTCCACAATTTGTATTTTTATACATATAATGGAAATTATTAGTTATGATGAAGAATTTTTCAAAGTCCAGAATAATTTTGAAAAAATAGATAGATCCTAACTTCAGAGTATGTGATAATTAAATTTCAAATGAAATACATAAGCAACATGAATCACAAGCACAAATCATATAGAAATATTCATCAAAGTATTAGGTAGTATTAGGTAGATTTTCTATAAGCATGTGTGATTGAAGAAAAATCCTTAAGTAAAAGGTAGCCATAATTGATTATGTATATTATTATGTATTAAAACATGTAGCATTCTTTAAGAGAACTAATCAACCTGTTTAACAATTAACACAAATTAAAAAGTAACTCATAAGTGATGAAATGCACCACATAAATTAACAAAGATAATGATTATTCACAATAATAAGAACAAAAAAGTCAGTAATTTTTTTACATATTAAGGTGAATAAATATCTACTTGCTGTTCATGGTTATTTCTGTTATGTGAATGAAAATAACCATCATTGATCACCAGGAAAGCAATGGGTTGAAGGTTTCTTTCTTTTTTTTTTTTTGATTACAGAAGTGCTTGAAACTGTGGTCTTGTAGAATTCTTATACTTCTGAAACTCTGCAACTTTTTTAGTCTAATTTGTTTTTCAAAAACAGAGAAAAGCCAATAATATAGTGAGGGCGGAGCCAAGATGGTAGCGTGAGTAGGACAGTGGGAATCTCCTCCCAAAAACATATATATTTTTGAAAATACAACAAATACAACTAT